CTTACCTAGCACACGTGAGATAACCACCAGGGATAGTTTTTTCAAAATGCATATTGCTTGTAGTTTGTCTGTTATTAAACTTTCATTAAGTAAGCAGAACTGTAAATGGTATTTAGCTCCACAGCTCTGGTCAAATGTTCACAAAAAGATCTGTGCTGTTTGGTTCCCCAGTGAAAACTTTTCAGTTAAGCAAATGACACTGCAAAAATAAATCCTTAGTGCACAGAACACTTTTTCAGAAGCCTGTCAATAAAACAAGTTCATACAAAAGACCAAGATACAAAAATGCTCACCACCAATACAAAAAGATATTATGAACGCTTGTCTATCAGATGCATTTTAAAATAACTGGTTAGTCTGAAACACAAATAAATCCTTACCTGTCTCAACAATTTCTCAACAGCTGACATGACCATGAGTCCTCTCCACACAACTGGGGCAGTCTCTTCTATCAAGAAGCCCATAGACATGCTGAAACAAAAAAAGCAAAAACTTAACCTTCCAGCATGATATTAAGTATATCTGTCAAGAAGCTTGATTTGAATAAAAACATGCTCACCATGCGATTCCATAGTTCTTAAGGGGCCTCATTAGATTTTCTAAAACAAAAGCAAACACATTTTTTTGGGAAGGTGTTTTTTCTTCTGTTTTAAAGAAATAAGTTTAGATTTTTTTTTTTCTTTTAAGAGCAGTTTTTCCTTCTCTATCAACAGAATTTGTCTATTCTTCCCCTCATTCCTTCCATATATTTATATATGTGTACTTTTACCTATTCTACCTGAGATCTTAAGCCTACGTTTTCTTAGGCTGCAACATTTTACTGGTGTCATTCAAGTCTTGACAGAGAAACAACAACTAAAGGTACCTCTAGATTACATGCTATAACAGTGCTGAAGAAAATCCTCAGGACTTACATAAACTTTTCTAAATATATAATACGCTTACATGGACATATGCTTATTTGGACATTGCAAAGGTAATGCCCTTGCCATGCTTCACACTCCTCCCTATGCTTTCCAGACTCAAGAAATAAAAAAAAAAGAGGCAAAATACTGCAATTGCTTCACTGTCAAAGGGATGAGGCAGCAAAAAGTAAACAAATCAACAATAAGATAACATGAATGCACTCAAAAAAAAAAAAAAATCCCCCCAAAGCCTGAGACTTTTTTTTTTTCTAGACTCCATCATCCAAGTTTACAATTTTCCTCAAAATGGCACATACATACAAAAGACCCAAAAGAATTATATCTGAGCCTCACCTCACCAGTTTATTTTAAGAGCACGTACAGGCAGGAACCAGCAGAAAACAGCGAGATCACTTTAAGCCATAAAGATATATTACAACGTGCATTGACAGAAACCTCTGATGCAACTAAAGTAAAAACATTTATCTAATAAAAAAAGGACAATGTGAATATAATTTGGTGCATTCGAAGCTGAACTCCAAAATTCAGACAAAACAACATCCAAGAGCACTCAAATTAAACAGCTGAAATAAAATATACAGATGAAAGCTTTCAAGCAATCAAGTAAACAGGCGTTTGAGCCATGTAATTGGATAAATCGTAGAAATATGGCTGAAAATAAATTCCACACAGTTTCTGTACACACTGTGTTTTGGTTTACAAATCAAAAAGAACAAAACAGAAAGCTAAACAAATCACTTCCATGACAACTGCATTCAAGAAAGTACAAAGCTGTTAAAGGAAAAGAGATGTGCTTGGACTGATTCCCTGAACAAGCTAAGTTCATCTTGGTAGCTCCATTCAGATTTTAATCAGGGCTGAGTTTTGGTGGCATTATACTGTATCACAATGCGAGTCATCAGGCTTGCTTCTTTACCCTGCAGCAAGGTGGCTTTGCTATGGAAAGGTTGATGACATTTGAACTTCAGCCTAGATTCACCTCTAGGCACTGCTTTGGTGCCTTTGTAAACAACACATACTGCCACAAGCTATAATTCTGCTGACAGTATTGAGGAAAAAAATACCACTTTCATATTTACCTATGAGAAGTTTTTCTTTTTAAAAAAAAAAAAAAAAGTGAAGCACCTGTAACAGCATGCATCATTGCAGCATCAAGGTCTGATTCGCCTTTACTATGAAAGAGACAACTATGAAGAAAAAAAGGAGGCCAATTCTTCACAGCTCAGCATGTGAGGATAAGGACTGAAAAATAAGAATGAAATGATTGCAGAAAGCCTAAGAACATTGAGAAAGTTTATCAAAATAACATGCAACTTTTCAGTTCAACCCAGGTGCTCTAAGGTACATCAATACAACATCAGTATCTGAGACTAACATCTCAACATCCACTACCTCTGTACAGAACCCAGGTAAGGCACGTGAACCTTATGCAACAGATGCACGTACCTCTCGTGCCCCTCAGTGCATTACAGGAGAGTTGCTGCAGGCACGCTGTGCTGACCTGCTGCCAAAGAGGGTCTCTGTTACTGGAATGGGTGTGCTGTTTACTCCTCAACAGCAGAGCTTCATTTTATAAACACTGCATCTTAGCTCCTTGATTAACAACTATGACTATAAACTGCTCAGAGGTGCAAGGTTTAATCAAGTTCATATGCTGCACAAGAACAATTCCCAACCTGTTGTCTATTCTGGCTATAACATGCTGCATACTCTCAAAGTAGTACAAAATCCATGAAGCACCCTACTGTTTTCCTACTGCTAAAAAGCATTCTTAAGACTATCTCAAACCTGAAGTGCTTCAGCAGGCTCTGGTAATCACCCCCATCTCATCAAACACAACAGGCAACCTTCCTCTATCACTTTGGGTCTCATAAAGACTTTGTAAAGCATAGCATGTTGAGAAGATTAAGCTAAATGAGAACTCAGTAACATCTCTATTTCCTGTTTATTTCAGAGCATAGTTAACACTTCCTTCTCTGTTATCAAATGTCTACCATGCAGTTTCAGAAATCAAGAAAATAGACAATAAATTTGATTTCTTCAAATCATAACAGAAAGAGCCACAATATACTATCCATGTTGATATCAATTTCCTCATTTGCAAATTCTAAGCAAGTTTGGTGGCCATAAAATAGAGTTCTGTGCTTTCCCACAGAGCAATAACATCAAAACAGCATCAAAGAAATATCAGTAAAATTCCTTTTATGTTAGGACACAAATAGGGAATTGGAAAATGCAAACTTGAAAGTTAGAGCAGCACAGCAAATTGCTGATCAAAAGTGTTCAGGGACCAGCCTGAAGACTGGATTGTTACTCGCTTAGGGAAGAATGATACTGAATGATGTTCAAATCCTTGGGAAGGATCTTCCACACTTCATAAAACGTACACCTTTGGTTTTGTATTTTTCCAGAAAACCAAACTTTGCTGTTTACTTACTTTGTTACTAGCCTAAGAAAGTAACAGAGCTACCCCAGAGAGCTTATTTTCTGGGAATAACAGAGCTTATTCTCTGGGATGCCTGACATAGCTGTTCAATGGCATCCATAGGTTAGTGCAATACAAACTAAGCTTAGAGCTATAAATTCCATAGGAAGAGACATTGGCTCAGTTTTCAGATGTCTGCAGATTGAAGCATTAAAGCAAGTAAAAGCTTACATTCAGTCTTATCGTGTATGTAAAGGCCATTATTCCAGAAGATTGTGATGTTACACTACACCCCATTAAGAGCCATCACGCTGCTTAAGGAAAGTAAACATAGCTTATTACATGGATGTTATTTCTACAACATCCATGTAGGAAGGCATTATCTCATTTTACAGATGAGAGAATCCAGACACAGGCTGTGAAACTGTTAGTGCTGCCAATGACTGCAGAATCCTGCAGACTTGGAGACCTGTACTGCATTCCTCCAAGGGCTGATACAAGAGAGCCACAGCTCTGCTTACCTCCAGTGCTAGAAAGCATATAGAAACAACTGATAAATAGTTAAGTTTTACTGCTAAAACAACATATTTTCTATTGAAACCTGAAAGAACTAAAATAAAAACAGCAAACTTAAGCATAAACAATATTCAACGGGAAAAAAAAAAATGTAGAAAAAAAAAATCACACTACAGTCTGTTACACAAGTCAGAATAGCCTACGGATCCCACTGCGTTAAACAAAATCATACAAGACAAACTTCATTAATGTGCCATACATACGGACAAGCTAAACAGATTTTCAGCATGGTCACATGTAAAATCTCAAACTTCTTGCATGATCTGTTTTTCAGTTGTATATAGTTTCATGCTATGGTGATTACAGAACAATCCACCAATCTAAGCCTCCAATTTAACAAAACTTTCTGTTTATCACATCATAGCAAATAGTAATTTTTATATGGCTGTTAATGTGTAAGTTCAGGTAAGTTATGTGCAGTATCTTCTGTCAGCACCCAAGGTCAACAATCTTTAATAGGAGAATCCAGGTTCCAGTCAAGGACATGAAGGCCGCAATCATTACATGGTTGAACATAAAAATTTCTATCAATCAAGAACAACAAACAGAAGTAGATGTCTTCAGTAGGTTCATAGAAAATAACCATCCCTAAGAGGTGGGAAAAGTGACTGACAGGAAGGGAAAAAGAGTACCAGGAACTCTTTTTGTACAAAGGTCCCCTTGTACAAATATAAATGTCTCCCATGATTCCAGATGCCTTCAGGAGCTGGATTTGCAGTGGAGAGCCATACATTCTGAGCAGACAGCTTAAAACCAGAAACCATATTTGAACATGTTTTAAACAGCGCCAATTTCCTGCTTAAAGACAACTTCATTTCACTCACAGTGTTAATAGGATGGGAAAGCAAAGCAGAGGGAAGGGGAGGGAGGCAAATAGACCCAGAAACTACGTCTGGGCCCCAGGGCATTCCACAATAAAACAGAGCCCAACCTACCTCCAATAGAAAGGGTGGGATGCTGACACCAAAGTACTAGTCAAAGTCAGAAATTTTAAAGACCCAATCACTTTAACTGCTTATGCCAGAAGCCCAGAATATTCTAAGGCAAACAACTGACTAATTGAGACTTTAAGATGGATTTCACACTGTGTTATAAATTTATTTGAAGAATTGCCTCAAAGGTATTACAGTTTGCATTTTAAGCTTAAGGAGGGATGAGATTTCCCATTATGCTCTGCACTAACAGTGTTATCTGAGCATGGAGACATCACAAATACTTCAACCAAAGCAAACAACCAAAGATAGTCAAAGAACATAACTCAGTGCTCAGAAAATAACTCAATTTTTTAAAAGAGACAAATGCATAGAGAAATGTAGCTTTTTCCATAAGAATTCCTTCTTATATTTTGTCAGTCTACCAATCCCATTACTTGAGAAGATTTTCACAGCTTTCTTCCTCCTAGTAGATTGTAGAGGCAACAAAGCTCTGTGAAAGCATTTTCATTAACAGGCCTGCTTTGCAGCTATGGTATCAGTTCTACCTAAAAGCAAGAGACCTAATTGTTTGCTGAAAGAGTATACTTCAAAAGCAAGTCTGGCAAAAGTAAAAAAAAACACTCAGTAATTTAGTCATGAGTTTATTACATTTTAAGACATCTTTGAGTTGTTAAGTTAGGACTAAAGATACAGGACTAGTTTTAAATATGGTTCCATTGCCTTCAACCACAAATGTACTTCTTACAATCACTAAAATAGCCCACATTTTGAAGAATTCTCAAAGCTTTGTGGAACCAAAAAAGCTGGGTTTTTTTGTGGCTCAAGAGTTGTCCTAGAGTAATTGGAGTGGATTCCTTAAGTTCCTGATACCTGTTTCCTGATTCCTGATTCCAAAATACCTAATGAAATGATTAACCAAGTCAAATGGTTATGAGAAGCTCAGGTTTTGTTTGCCAAGCATGTAATCCACCTAAAAGACAGAAACAGCAGAAGCTAAGGGGTTTAGCAACAATGGAAATCTTCACTGTATTTAAAACTGACTTTTTTCCCATCCTCACCAAGTTTCTGACTCTCACTCCATAATTATGATGTCCATACACTTCTCCTCTCTCCCAAGTACTAACTACCTCATCACATATGAAAAAGCCTTCAAAATAGAAACGCATCTAATTGTAACATTCTGAATTATTACTTGCTCTTCAACACACTTTGAAACAGATTTTCAAAATATCTGCCAATCTATAACTAAACAGTAATTTCAGTTATCAGTTCTTAATAAGAAACAAGAACAAAAAAAATAAGAGCCCGAAGCATAGCCAGCCACTTTGACATGAGCAACTATGGAACTGCTTACAATGCTAAGAAAACCTGTTTCCTGTGAATACATCTGTGAATACAGTTGTTTCCAGTTAAAGTTATTTCGCTTATGGCAGGTACAAAATACTTCCTTAGTATTGCCATATTTTCTGACATTTTTGTTTTTACTGCAACAGCTACTTAAGTTTGCCTCTCATACAACAAAAGAGGTTTTTACACTGTGCCAGAGCTTACACTTTTTACTTAACCTTTACAGCCTATTCTCAACAAGTTTGCCAGAGAAGGTAAGATGGCCCTTCAGGCTAATAAGAAAAGACAACCACCTCAAAGCAGTCTTCTCATCAGTGCAGGGATTTTCAATCAGCAATGTCACTGACTGCTGCTGTCTCTTTTCTATAATGAAATCAACAGATATTCTTAGTGGTGCAGACACATCTGCTTAATCTCCAACTAGATACAATGAATACGGATAGCGCAAACAGCAAGTGTTTCTGGAAACTAAAGGAGAACAAGTTAAAAAGGCACATTAGGCTTTCTAGACTAAGGACAGCTAGCAGGCATCAAAATCATTGAGGATGGGAGATCAGACTGTTGAAGTGAAAAGTAAAGTTTAAAAAACAAACAAACATTTGGGGATGGGGATGTTGATCAAAGAAAAAAAGTAGTATTATTTTAAGAGAGTTCTCTGATAAACTCCAGGAGGGTCTGGTCCTTACAGATCTTCAAAGACAGGACTGTGTGGCCTAAAAAGTGGAAGCAATACAGAACTGTTTCAGTTACCTAGATAAGCTGTGGTAAGACATCAAAGTAAAAGGCCACATTTCAGTTCAGAATACTTTCAGAAAAGAATAAACATGTAACATTGAACTACAGGCAATTTAAAAACCACTTGTTTACAAATCAAGAGCAGTAGCAGTACAAAACATGACGTTGAGAGAATCAAATTTAGTTTTTATTTGAATTAATCATGACGCTGCTTCACCAGTGAAGCATGATAAAGACATCTCTGTTGATTAATACAAGCTCTATAAAATTAAATCTTCACATATGACCAGGAAACTTCATGGTTACATGAACAACCACACCATCAATGTAACATTTTCTTTAATCAGTACACTGCAAGTTTTCTATTCATAATTCAAATTTTCTATTCATATCAAAAAATGGATTTCCCAAATCCTTGATAAAGCTATTTCATGTAGACATCTTTATAAAAGTCACAATAAACCGTATTTTAAAATTCTTATTTTTGTATATTACAGAATCTGCTGTTAAACTGAAGTGCTGCAGACATACTGTCTGTACTAGCACTGTATCCTAGTTGGGCAGGGAGCCAAGTATCCATGTTTTATTTTATACTTTTATCAGTAATGTCATTTCTATAGCTCTCGCAATATTAACCTCAGTAGGGCTGGGATACACCTAATGTTGGCTTCTCTCAGAAACTACTCTTTAATTCCAAAGAGTAAGAACAGATCTACTAGTGATCTTTTCAATATATTTTTTATAAAGAAATAAAAAGGGCACTGAAGGCATCACAAAATGGCAACAAAGTTTTGAAATATTAAGAGAGTGTTCGACTGTCATAAATAAGAAAGCCCACTAAAACCTTTATAATTATTAAAATTAAGTGAAAGAATGTTACAGTTATCTGGTGAAAGGGCAACATCATTTCAGCCATTTAATAGATTTTGCTTTTTGCAAAGTAGTTTAAGTGGAGACCAAAAAAAAAAAAAAAAAAAACACCTGAACTTCTGCAGCCTACTGAGTTGGAAAACAGCTTCAAGTAAATCATTTGAGCAAAGAGTTTAAGTAATGCTTTTACTACTTGTGTTAGAAATGTTGATATATCATAGCTGATGTTAGTATTTATTCCATAGTTAAATTATCCTCCATCAGCTAATTAAACTCAGTCATAAACTTATTAAGCAGTATTTCCTTGATCATTTAAAGTATTTTGAATGATACTCTATTAAACATTAGCAGGCTTTCCACCATAGTAAAGCTTGCAAGATTCAGCTGAGTATCTCCCATTTATGCAGACTTTCCTTAAGAAGAACACCTAATTCATTTTGAAAACTTTATTATATCAGAATAATTATTCTCAATTCAAGAGCAATAATTGCTGCACAGATTTCTTCTATACAGTACCAAGCAATCCCAATCTCTTTTTCACTGCTATGCATGAGGAAGATCTTAAAAATCCAAGTACAAGAGTGACCAGAACCTTGTCGGATTACTGTATGTAACCAGTAAGAAAGGATGCTGCTACTCATTTTCACATTCAGGCCTCATGCTGAAGAAGCAATAGTCCTTGAACATAATTTTTGACTGCTATGCTATTAAAAATATCTTTAATTGACTTACTGATTATTAAGCATACATAAGTAATGCCTGTCTTTAACACAACTGCCAGGCTTTGCTCAATTACTGTACAAATCAATACACGTTCAGAGGTGGTTTTATTTTTGAAAAAGAAACTGGAAGGTAAGGCTAAACTTCATTATAGAAAAATATGATCCTTTTGATATCTATACCTACATGTATGTATGTATACAAATATACATTATATACATTAAAATGAAAACACAGACACTCCTACAATTGATCTTTTTTTTGCAATTGTATCCTGTTGTCACTAAAATAATGAAATCCTTCAAGCTCACTATGAAAATTTCCTGAGTCATGGTATTTCCCATTATCACAACCAAACCATCTTTGTGTCAGCACTTTCATTGTTGCTACTCGACAGCTGCATCAACTGAGGAGTTAAACTCCAAAGGAAACTTAACAGAACTTCTGAAAAACAAATTCTACCCTGCCATCATTCACACCGAATTGTTACATCATTTTCTCTGTAGACACGTGTTATACATCCTGCTTTTGAAAGACACAAATCCAATTTCTGTTAAAGGTTCTAATAGTATTTACTTGTACGTTCCATACAAAAGCAGAAAGAATATATCTTCACTACCAGAACATGTTTACTAGACAACAGTGACAATTTCAGCTCAGGGAAATCCTCTAATTTCTACTACACTGAACACCTTGTTTTTTCACAACACACAAAACATGCAAAGATAAAAGTCTATCGTTAATTTTCAACTGTATCCTCAAAGCAGCCCTAGTCACTAATATTTACATATCACAGCACTGAGCTGTCACAGTATCTGAATGAATCCTTAATTGAAGTCCTTGTATTCTTAGCAAATTAAATGGTACGGCCAAAATAAATAGATTGGGCAACTTCCTCCTCGTTTGTAGCTCATAATATAGATTTCAATTTCACAGAATCATAGAATGACCTGGGTTGAAAAAAGACCTCAAAGATCATCTAGTTTCAACCCCCCTGCTATGTGCAGGGTTGCCAACCACTAGACCAGGCTGCCCAGAGCCACATCCAGCCTGGCCTTGAATGCCTTCAGGGATGGGGCATCCACAACCTCTTTGGGCAACCTGTTCCAGTGTGTCACCACCCCCTGAGTGAAAAAATTCCTCAGAACGTGGAGTGGATTAATAAAATACAAGATTAAATGTATTTTTGCCCTGGTCACAAATTACAGGAGAACATAAGAATACTTCAGAATTCTTCCCAATACAAATAAGAAATCAAACTCAATAATACGTGAGAGGGTTCACCTATTTATTACACAACAGAATTAGCCTTTACCTTCAAAAATTAAAACATAAGCCCAATAAATAAGACAAACTCTCTTTCTCTGCAAGAAAGTATCTAATGTCTGTGTTTGTAAGCTATGTACTTTAATGTAAGAAGTACTCAAATTGACAGTTGCTTGTACAAGCATGCATCTTCTAGTTCACCTGCAGCGTATCTGTAACATTATTACCCCTTTCTAGAGCATAGGGTAGAAGCATTAGAATACAAACAGCAATACTAAACTTGCCACACTTCTATTTTCAGAGGCTAACTCCACACACTGTAATAACCTGTTAAAGATTTGGGGAAATGGCCTCAAATTGCACCAGGGGACATTTAGGTTGGATATCAGGAAAAACTTCTTTACAGAACGGGTAATTAAGCACCAGAATAGGCTCCAAAGGTAGGTGGTTGAGTCACCATCCCTGGATGCATTTAAAATCCATTTGGATGTGGTGCTCAAGGATATGATTTAGCAGAGGGTTGCTAGTCAGGATAGTATGGTTAGGTTGTGGTTGAACTTGATCTTGAAGGTCTTTTGTAATCTGAGCAATTCTATGATTCTAACATTCTATGCTAGCACTGTTTCATTCTGCGCATTTTCTACCAGCTGAGAACATACAAAACAGCCACTACAACACCCACAGATGTACACAGATTAGTTAGAAATAGACATTTTAAAACAATAGCAGAGTAAATACAGAGTAAATAAAAATAGCAGAGGAAATACAAAAAGATCATGGCACAAATGAAAGAGGAAGAAATATCTAACTTGCCTACTACTTAGCAATGACTTCCCACAAATATTAATGAGAGATATATATGTGTATACATATATATATATATTTAAAATTTTATAATATATGTACGTATATATTTAAAAACTATATTAAAAAAACAATTTCTTATTTGGCAAAACCCTTTTTTCTAACATTTCATCTGGTCCACATACTCAGTCCCCCCCTGTCAACAACTATTGCCAGTTTGGCCTTTCTTGACTACAATCCTAGCTCATTTTGGTGCAGGCCAAGTGCTAGTAGCATGGAACTGTAGTAAAATATGTATCTATATATATACCTATATATATATCTATATATATATCTATATAAAAATTACATGCACTTTGCCATAGGAGGAGCAAAACAAAGCACTGAAATCTCACCATCTCAGAGGCTGGCAAAGTGCTGTAATAACATTTATTTTATTTCCTAGATTTGTCACTTTTCTCCCCCAGGTGACAGCTTTCATTTTGTTTTATGTTGTTACCGTTGTCTAATCTGAAGATGTTCTACAGTGGGATCCTATATGGCAATTTTAAACCAGCTGACAATAACCTTCCTTTCCTGGTTACTTTCTCCAGTCCATTCAGTAACAATCTATGAAAATCCCAAAGCCAATGGAGCCACTTAAAAAAAGATCATGAATATGTCCTAGCTGTACAACCTAGCTTTGAAAGTTGCCTCAGCAATAAAAATAAAAAATTAACACACTCAGTTTTCAATTTCTGTTTGCATCCCTCCTGTACCACACCACACACCAAGGAAGCATAAATGAATGTTCTCCTCTGCTCATCTCTGTACAAAAAAGCAGTAAGAAAAAAAAATAAAATCACACTTACTTGGTGTTAACTCTGGGTTTCCTTTTAAGTTCATCATCTTTGGAATTGAAGGCCCATATATGTCTGCATCAAGCAAACCAACTTCTTTTGCCTGTGTAAGAACCGAAGAAAAAGTATTTATTTATTTCAAAACCTTTCTTTCAAAACATCTTACAAGCAAAATTTAAAACTGCCCACAGAAATAAAATTACAATCTCAACTTCAGATGGAAGTTATTACTATTTCTTTTCTGTCTAAACTGCAATTGGAGCATGAAAGATAACACTGTGTACAATTTTTAGCCAGAGGTCACAAAATCTAGGTTCTCAAAACATATAATCCTCACTTGCACATTTTGTTATTTACAGTGTGGAGCACAGACTTTATATTAACCAACATTATAAGCAACATTCTCTCTACTCCATGCACACAGAAGAGCCTTTTAAAGGTAGCACATTTCATTGTAAAAAATTAGCAACATT